GGGCTCCCTCGACTCGGACGGCCACCGTACCTGCAAGAACCCAAAGCCAAGGACCCCGGGAGGGGTGCCCGGCTTTGGGCCTCCAATGCTTAAGTCAGTACATGAGAGTGTATATAGAGAGAGTGTGTAGAGAGAATAAGTGTAGTAAGGGAATGAGTAGAGAATGTAGGAAATGAGTACCTTAGCCCCCCTTTTATAGAGAGAGTGTACCTTATAGTCCAAATTGGGCTTGGCCTAAGTTGGGCTCGGCCCATATTATCATATCAAGTGTCTTAGCCCATGTATGGGCGTATCTGCAATATATATCCATAAAAATCGGTCGGGTATGACATGTTATATCAGATACTACCGGTCGAGCCGACAATACTAGTTGTGGCTATATCACACACAACACAAACTTTTTTTTTTAATATGGTATTTTGGTCATTAAGGATATTTGACCACCCATTAAGGGTATTTTGGTCAATAATCTACCAAAACACGTATACCCTACCATTTCTCTCTCACACACATAACATACACTTCTTCACACACAAATGAGAACATGCACACACACAAGATCACTAGTCATCCACTCGCCGGATTGGCACATTCAGTTGTCGCCATCACCAGTTCACAACAGCCTTGCCACCAACAACCTCGTCGCCCTGCAACTCGACGAAACGCCGCCGCTTCGGGGTCGATTAATTAGCCTCTGATCCGCCGAACTCCGTCGAGATGGCCACGAGAATCTCGAAGACATTCGACGAGTAACAGTCGGAAATGAGCTCTGCAGAACCGCCACCAGCAAATCAGAGTCGTCAACGTACTCGCTAGACGTTAGGTGATTTGAGACGTTGATCTTGTAAATCCCAAACTTTTCATCACTGCTGAGGAAAACTGAACTGTGGGTGAGGAAGAAGCGTGGATTTGCAGATTTAAAAAAATGAGTGGGGGGGTGTTTTGAAAAATTTGATATGTTCTAGGAATCTGATAGCAATTTCCTAAATTTTAATATATATCAATTCAGTACATGAGGTAAATTGGTAATTTAATAAAAATTCTAGAAACTTAGCTGCAAATTCTGAAATTTGAATACATTACAATTTAGTTCGTGGATAAAATTTGTAAACTAAACACAATCGACTTCTTTTCTCTTTAAGTACACGATCCATCATTTACCTAAAAATAATAAAAAAAAGTATATTAAACTAACATATTTATCAAGTATGGTAAAAAAAATATAACTTAAATTTTAATAGATACTACTATCTACTTCATATAATATAATAACCAAATAAATAAATTTAGTATCGAGTGTACAAAGAACGTTCGTTGATGCGAGAGAAAAAATGGAAAGAAAATCATAAATATTGTCACAATTACCCAAATTTATTACAAAGTGAGAAACTCAATTAGGTGGGCTGACTGTCCGAAACACAATTCGGTCGTAGATTTCCCAAGATTCCGCACAGAGACAATGGCTTTCTCTTTGCAAATGGCTTCTTCTTCTTCCTCCTCCTCTGTTCTCGGCCGCCGGGAAAAAGGGTCGGTAAGATTTCCTAATTATAAAATTTCTGATTTCTGTTCCTATCCACGTTCCACTTGGTCCTTTAGGTTAAACTCGGGCGGCGTTCGTCCGATGATTTTGTCTTCGACTAGACCATGTTCTTCTTCTTCTTCTTCTTACTCTCCAGTGATTTTGTCGGAACCAAATTCTTCATATTTTTCATCATCTCCTTGTCTGATGCTTCCCCACGTATTTGAAGCTGGCGCCATGAATTACAAATTCTACAGCCTGGCCGAGAACAAAGTCTTAACCCTCGCCACCGAATTCCCGGCGGGCACTGACATGATGGTGTTGAGGGGATCCTCGCACGGCTGGCTAGCTCTGCTCAACCCCCACACTTTCGACCTTTTCCTCTACAACCCCATCTCCCGCCGCCGCATCAACCTTCCCCCAGTTGGAAACTTGCCCAATTACCCCTGCCTAGAGAGCTCGAAGGACCTGGAAAAGCTCATCCTTTCCTGCTCCCCGGACGAAGAAGGCTGTCGGGCTGCCATCATAAACGATGCGCAGGGGCTGGCTTTCTGCTGCCCGGGGCACAGCGACAAGTGGACTCTGATTGGCGATCTTCGGTTGAGATATTATGGATTGGCCCCGTGGAATTGGGAATGGGAAGGGAATTATAGGGATTGTGTCTATTCGTCGCAACATCAAGCATTATTTGCCCTCACTGGTTGTGATGAGGTGGAATCATGGGATCTCCGGGACCCTTTGTCCCCTTGTGTGATCAAGACTTACGAGAAAAAACCCCAGAAGATGACTGAAAAGTTGCTGCCTCCCGGAGCCGAAATGTTTAGGCAGTATCTGGTGATTGCAGGGCAGGATCTTCTGATGGTGTCTCAATATCTGATGGAAACTGGTGGCTCGTTTACTTTGTCAGATGGCAAAGCGAATCCTGATCACAGCTACGTGACTGTTGATTTCGATGTTCATAGATATCATCCTGAGGATGTGGATCATCCAAAGTATGTGGAGGGCTCGTCCCTGGGTGGTTGGGCTATTTTTGTCGGCTTCAGCAGCCACGCTGTTGCCTTGCCGGCGGCGGAGTTCCCGGAGCTCGAGCCTAACTCCATTTACTTCACGGATCCAACATTGTTGACGCAAGTTGAGAATTGTGTGAGTGGTGGCCATGACATTGGCATCTTCAATTATGAGGACAAGACTGTGTCGCGGTGCTATTATCCGAGTGATGTTAGAAAGATCTTCCCGGCGCCTATGTGGTTCTTCCCGACTCAAAATTGATTTGATTTTCTGGATTTTGATTTACATGTAATTTATTAATAGATAGTTTTCATTTGGGCTGGACGCGATCAGGAGGAATGTAGTTTTTCAGCTTAGAAGGCAGAGTAATTTAGTTCTCCGTTCCTTTTTTTTTAGGCTGTTCTGGGGTCATTTTATATGGGCTGTACTGATTAATGGTATGGTTTCATGTGATTATTATTATTAATCTATCATTGTTATTATTATTAATCTTTATCTCGAGAAATTGTATGCCAAGTGGATGTATGGTTTTGTTCTCTTTCCAATAATCTTATGGATTTTGTTGTCTTTTCAATAATCTTATTGAATGAGGTTCAATCAGCTAGCATAAAAAAATGCAGTGCTAGTACCGTGCACCTTGGCACATCTAGCAAGGTGTACCAAGACAGATTAAAATGAACATATTACTTTATAAAATGAACATGTATAATACATGTTTATTTTATAAAAAAACATGTTCATTTTAAAAAAGCCTTGGCACACCTTGTTAGGTGTGCCAAGCCGCACCTAAGTATCTGCGCCAAAAATGACCACATGAACTTCTTGACATGGTTTTAAGTTTTAACAATAGAAAATGTTTATGCATATGTTGGCTGGAAAAAAAGATAAGAACACACATTTATTTAGATAGACCCTTATTTCACAATCCTTTCAAGGTCCTCAACATTAGATGGATAACAGCTCCGTGACACAGTCTTTTCTTCATAATCGAAAATGTGGACAACTTGAGTGCTGTTATCAGTGAAGTAAATTGAATTGGACTTGAGCCCAGGAAAATTTGCCACAGGCAAAGCAAAAGCATTACTCTGGAAGCCGATGAAGAGAGCCCAAGCACCGACGCCCGAACGCTTAAATCCACCTTCTTCCTCCGGATCATACCTATGTACGTCGAATCCACCACCAGCAGCAGCCACATGCTGAGTCACCACAAGCACGTCCCGACCAACTATCGCCAGATGCTCTGCCGGAAGATCATCCGGCCTACGCTCACACCACCCATCGTAAAACTTGAACTTATCGAAAGACCGATCATGCCTGCCGCTGTCCAGCTCAGCCAGCTCCCTCTTCTCCGGGTCCTCCGGGTCCCGCAGGTCCCACGAGCTCAGCTGCCCGCTGGTAGTGAGCGCGAACAACAGTTTGTGCTCCGGCGAGTACACGCAGTCCTCGTAGCAGCCCGACCACCTCCACCGGCGGCCGGCCACCTCGTCCCACCACAGGAACATATCCTTCTCACCGAGTGGGGTCCACACCACGCTGCGTCCCGGGCAGCAAAAGGCCAGTGCCCCAATGGAGTTGAAGATTATCACGGCCCGGCAGTTTTCCTCGTCCTCGTCTGGTGAGCATGAGAGGATACACTTGTCGACGCTCTCGCTCATGTAACTAGCAGAGTTATTGGAGGGGTGAAGCGGCAGGTCTCTCTGCTTGATCGAGGGAAGCTTTATGCGGCGGCCAGAGACGGGGTTGTACAGGAACATGTCGAGGCTGTCCGGGTTGAACAGAGCTTTCCAGCCGTGAGAATATCCCCTCAATACGAAGTCCTCGCCGGGAAACGAGTCGATTTCAGCACAGCCTGCCAGCCGTACCACTTTTCTGCTGGCGGGCGGCTGTTGCTGCCGGGGAGACGGATAAGATGAACTTTGTAGCGAAATCGCGGTCATCTGTCGGGTCACCGGCAAATATAGCCGACTGGTGGTGGTGGGGGGATAGATTCCAGGAGAAGGATGAGATCCGGCCTTATATTTTCCAGATCCGGCGAACCATTTCCCACAGATGGAGGTGGAAGTAGCCATGGATGAAACTCTTAATTTAATTTTCTGTAGCCCTTATTTTATCCCCAAATTTCATTCTCTCAAAGCAAAATTGTGCCTTTTTACTTTCTAAAAAATTCTAACACATATTAAATCGATTATATACACATATAATCCGCCAAAAATCTCAATTACTTAAAAAAAAATAAAAAAAAAATCTGAAACTGTATTTTTAACAATTTTTTGAAGGAAAAAATTTAATTTCTTTCCATAATTTTTATTTTACTTTTGGAAAAAAATAAATAAAAATTGAGATCTTGGAGATTATAATTCCCAACTAATTCTTCATAATTTGGACACGATTGTCTTCTAAAGAAAGAACTAGTATACACGGGTGCTTGCTAATTTTTTTTCTAAAAATCTAAAATTAATGAGAAAAAGTAGTTTAAAAATTTAAATACCTTTTACAAGAATATATATATATTATTATATATTTATTATGACACTTTTTATTTGTGCAACTTACTTGTGTTATATTATACTAATTTTTTTTATCTTACAATATATAACTACATTACATATA